ATCTTATCACACTTAAGCAATGGTTGGCAATTGCATATGTAAAAATGTTGTAAGGAAGGTTTATTTGCCCGGGCCAGAGTAAATTTCCCAAGAAGGAGAGGAGTTGGAAATTTAGTTTTCACCCACCCATCCGCCCACCTTATCACCTATCATTCATCCAGAAGGTCACAGTCAATTATCCGATATGAGGCTGCACGACTTGCAGTGTGTGATCATCATGATTATTTGGATATCGTAATAATGACAAAGCTGCAAGAATCATGAAAAATACATCTTTTCAGCTTGCCTCGCTAAATATCATATTATGGTTTTGATATATTTTTTGGTATAATCTGTAAGTCTTGATTTCTCACTAAAAACCAAGTCCTCGAAGCCAAACAACAAAATACATTGTTTGTTATTGCCTTTAAAAACAACCGATAAGCATTTTCTGATCTGATCCCCGACCAGTAAACAGGGATGATTCTATCAACAGTTACGGTTATAGCTGACCTACATGCATGCATCATTTCTTGTGTATCCCTTGTGCATGTGTACGTGGTATACATATGTGACTCAAGGGTTATATGAGTCCATATGGGTCACACAGAAACTTTAGAAAAGCAAAATATTTTACTGTGGGTATCCATGTCATCCATTGTCAGATCAACTGTTGCCACTTAATTGGCATTACCACAGCGAACCCTCTAAATGAAATAACATGGAATAAAAAAAGTCTGCAAACAGTTCCAAACATCCCTAATTTTTGTGCAGTGTGTGCATTATTTTGTCCCAGTCAAACCGTTTTATGTCACGGTGAAATAAGAGCCTCTCCCGCTGGTTTTGCACTCTGCAGTGTGATAAGCATTCAGACACTTCAGATCGGGTCGTGTTCTTGCTGCTGCTTTTGTATTGCTTTTATCTCTTTGTGAAAGTAAGAAGTGACGCTAATAAAAAAACAATGAAGGGACTGAGCTGCTGACAAATAACAGAGGGTTTTACAAACTGGGTGACGTTTGTACATACATATTTTTGTAGTGTAGTATGAAACAATAAAATCAATTATAGCATTGCAACCAAATCCAATTATAGTATACATTTTGCTGCACACATTAATTTCACACCAAAAACCTGTGTTCATTTTAAGAGTAATGAGTTAGTCATATTTGCGCTGCCATGGCAACTGCAGCCTTGTCTTTATCATTCAGTGCCACCAAGCAGTTATGTTAGTGTCGCCATTAGTACACTGTGTGGAGGTTTTAGGTTGAACACTGATGCTGATTACTGAAAACTTCTATTTTCTGATATCACTATATGCAGAACATCATATTCTGCTGGCAAAATATTGTAATTTGAAAGTCTTGACTTAAAGAAGCTTCTATAGAAGCCTACCAACATGGTAACATGAATGTTGAGGCTGCATGAGGTGGTATACAAGTAATGTAATGCAATTCTAAGCATCAACATTGGAAGATTATTCAAAATCTGTTTCTACCTGAAGACACTCATAATAAATTCTCTTTATGAGCCTTGTTGAAACCGAGGTGGCTTATATGAGAATAAGGTACTAGTATCCTAGTAACCATCAGCGATTAGCCAATCACAACTCTCCAATAATACCTCTAGGAAATTGGCCAATTAAATAGTGCTGTGTGGTCTCCAAACAGCCTGATGAGATGTGACCTGGAGTACTGTAGAAACCAGTGGCACATTTGAATGAGTGAATTAAAGCTGCACCAATATTTTTAATCAACAATGAAAAAAAATTGTAAAGTGAAAAGAGTCATACATGTTGACAAACCCACAGGGAATTGTCACCTAACCCAGTGATTACCCTACCTCAGAGATTTTTACTCTGTTTTGGATAATTGCCTTCAGAAGGCAGCAACCATAGTGAAGCATTTAGCAGCTGAAGAGGTATATATTTCTCCCAGGACCTGGAAGAAACCAAACTTGGAGCAAAAGGTAGACTGATTATTGGATCAGGTGGCCAGAAATACAACACTAAATTAATTCTAATGTTTCTCCATTATTTGGATGTTTAAAGGGCAATTGTTAAAACATTTCTTCTTCATCATCAGTCATTATCATCATCATATTTCCAATACCGTTTATGGACCCCAGTCTGCAGAAATACACTACACGAAAAGAGCACTTTTATACCACATGCAAAAAAATGCATGGGATTAGCATATAGTAAGCATGTCTCCGTAATGCCATTTTTCGCCTATATTTGGAGCGTTATTTAGCTTTCTTCCAACATGTGAGCACAGCATGGTTGATACCAATGGATGCCGTATGTCTTCTAGTTTTATATGATACCAGTATCTTCATTCTTCATTTTAAAACTGTGCCCACTACAGCCTCTGAAAGATTGGAATGAAATGAGAGGAAGAGGTTAAAAATCTATTAACAAAGCTTTAATCCCTACACAGGAACTCTGGGGAGCTACCAATAACATGTCACAGAAAGGTACAAATAAACAGGATAGATACAGGGAAAAAAGGCATGGCAGAAAAAGATAGAAAAATGACTGTTTTGTGCTAGCCAAAAAAGAAATGTAATAACCCAGGTCTAACTGTCTCCTGTTTCTGCAGACATGTGACTGTGAAGACCACACCCACCCATAAGTTTGTGTTTACAGTCAAGACCCACCACACTGTGGCACCTGGAAGCATCGCCTTCAGCCTGCCTCAGGTACGTACACACACACATACACACAGTTAATTACTGCTTGTTGGCTCCTCATCAATCTTTCCATATCTCTCTTTCACCTATCTCTCTTGTAGAGGAAATGGGCCGGTCTCTCCATTGGCCAGGAGGTGGAAGGTATAACAATCTCTATTTGATTGCTGCAAATGATGGTTAACTATACAGGCAAATCTGCTGTAATTGATAAGCTGTCAAACTTTCTGTCCTTAAACAGCACATACGCAGTGTACAGTAAGAGATTACCACTGGAAATTTCTGCAATAGTGGGTTCATGATTTCATACAAAAGGTAGACGAACGTAGGGTTATCATTTCTAACTGGGAACAGTTTGCCGTCTGGAATTACATCTCAAGTATGTTATTAGCTGTAGCTAGCTAATTAAACTAATGTTAAGTCCATGAGTTGGCTGATTTTTACCCGCCTCATTTTCTGACTTAGCAAAAAGCTGCCACACATCCGATTTCAGACAGGATAGTGCATCCTCAAGTGTTCACCTGCAACCGCCATGTCTTTGCGCCTTGACATAGCTACACAGGTACTGATGTGAGTGACGTTGACCAAGCAGAGGCAAAAGATTAACCAAACATGCCAACAGTACCCAGAATGATGATAGCATCTGGGACTGCCTTCCACACAATTGTGGCTTTTTTAAAACGTAACCTGTAACCCCAAAAAACTCAGTTAGTGTTAAGCTAACTCCTAACTCCTTAAAGCAACAAGGTCATTTAGGCAGTAAGCTAGGTCACTAAGTCATATGCTAACAAAGTGATATTTTGATTAGGGATACTGTATGGATTCTATTAATTATTTTATTCTGTCCTGTGATAGTCTAATGTGTGGCAGTTGCATTCTGCTGTTCTGTTGTGGTCTGTACTGTCGGTCTTTCCATTGAAGCTTGAACTCCTGAGATCAGTGTGCCCCTGTCCATCTGTCCCCTCAGTGTCCAACTACAACTTTGACAAGTCCAAGCAGTGCATCGGCACCATGACAATCGAAATCGACTTCCTGCAGAAGAAGAGTACCGACTCCTCCCCCTACGACTCAGACAAGATGGCTGCCGAGTTTATACAACAGTTCAACAACCAGGCCTTCTCTGTTACCCAGCAGGTTCATATTCTCAAAATATCGAGGCTCACACACAGACGTGCAACAAAACTTGTTGCTTACTTCTTTGCGCCTTGATGTTGCTCTGTGGGTTTTTTGATCATCCTCCTGCTTTTCTCCGTCCCTTAGCTCGTGTTTAGTTTCTGCGACAAGCTGTTTGGCTTGATGGTAAAGGATATCGAGGCCATGGATGCCAGCATCCTCAGAGGAGAGCCAGCCTCTGGAAAGAAACAGAAGGTACCTGACCTTACACAGCTCTGGTGCTTCATGTGCATATTTATGAGATTTATCATAAAAACAAGTTGAATCAAAAGTTTGCAGTGTTCATTCAGGTTCAGGTGTTTGCAAGCCTTTCTCAAATTTGGCCTTTTATTGAAATTAGTTATGAGAGGGTGGGTGTGTCTTGTTTTTTTTCCCTCTTTCAGAGGAAATGGGAATGTCACCACGCAGCTACAGAAAGCTCTTAGTGATCCAGTCCCGATGGGATTCTGACATTTCGTTGTACCTCTGCCCTATCCTCTCCATATATTTTTTAGAAAAGCAGAGATTTTGTTACTTTTAAACTGGTCTAACATACAGTTACACCTCTATAATCAGACTAATTAAAACCCAAAAGAAAATCAGCTTGAAATTGAGAAATGTAATGGTCCGGATAGTATATGGGTTTCTGGTGCAGGCGTTGCTCATAATAAATCAGGGGGATAAAAGCATTATAGTGGCATATATTGTTAAATGATATGCCATATGTTTACCATATATTGCCACTGCTTAATGGCTAATTTTTTGTTTACGCATCATCTTGATCATCATACACACCCATCTGACAACTGACACCACTGTAATACAGATGAGCATCCTACTGCACAACTTATTGCGTTGTGCTCATCATTTATTCATGCACATTAATACAGTGGCCCCATAGGACAAAATGCATTCACAAGCACAGGCACAAGAGAGAAATGCCCTTCATATCTAAAAAGGCAACAGATTCTAAAATACAAAAATACATTAAGAGAAATTTGCTCCCAATTCAGGAACGCTCCAAATACAGAAATGAGGCACATCACTTTATGAAAATAAGTGTAAAGTACCTCTACATTCAGTCAGCCATTACTCATACAGAGTGTTCAGTCACTGACATGTGTCTCCCAGTCTCTCCTTTCTGCAGTAAACAGAATACATTTTCTGGTATCCAATCAGGAGAGAGAACTCCACAAAGAGGCAGTCTTCAAGGGCAGGCAGCACAAATGATGTTACGTTATTATGTGGTTAGGTGGGGATGAAGGATGTTTGCCTACCAATTTTACTTACAGCACCTTTAAAGTGCTGAGTTCTTGCTGAAGTTAATCTAAGATTAATAATTAGAAAAAAAAACATAAGACAATTTATTCAGCGTAATAAATATAAGTGTCTTCAATGAAGGCACCAGAAGCACTTATTTTTAGCATTTTTTATTGAAACAATGAAAAACTAAACAGCTGCTTTATTTCCAACACTGGGACAAGACTACTTTCTGTTCTGTTCTTCTGAAAATAATCTTGCTCCTCTGCTGGGACATTATGCAAACCATTGCTGTAGCTTGTTACTGGTTAAATCGAGCTCAATATGAGCTGTAATATCATAGCTTAGGAAAAAGTGGATTGGACTCAAATGAGTAGATGCACCAGGATGTCTTTAGGATGTGATTATATGAAGATAACTTACAAGCAGGTGTAGGTAGGCAGGCAGATAAATGGGTATAAGTCCATGAAAAGCAAAAAGCAAAAACACAGGAACACAAAATGCAACCAGAGTGACCACGGATGAAAAAAACACAAACAGGAGAAAGCCAAGAGCCAGGTATCCACAGATGAAACCGAACTGAAACTGACACAATACAACAAAAAAACACTGAATCCACAGGTGAGGGGAAGGACAACAAGAAACAGGTGAAACTAATCAGGGCGGGGCAAACAATCAAACTGGAGGGAAAACAGACAAAGACAGGAAGTGAAGTAAAACAAGACACAAGAGGAGTAAAACTACAAAATAAAACAGGACATGACAAAATAAAAACCCCAAACCATGACAATCTCATTAAGACACAGGTATATTTTTTTAAAACAAGATTATTTTTCTTTTTAGACAAAAGACTAGAAACAAGGCTTTTTTACTTCCTTGAGATTACTTTTTTGCTTCAAACATTAGAAAAATGACAAATGCACTACAAAATCAGAGCTGCAAATGCTGCAAATCACATATTATGTACAAGTTTTATTTGTTGCCTTTTAGGGTATTTTTGCTGCATTTACTTGCATTGCATGCATTTGCTCTTGTATATGTCTTTTCAGTAGTGCCCACAGTGCATTAATACTCTCCATGTAAATGAGCTAATGTTTTAATCAGTAGATGGGGAGATATATTTCTAAATCATCAGACAATCTGAGGAAAAGATGTCCTAAAGTGATTGATTGACAGGTGATGTGGGGGTGGATATATTCTGACTTAATCACAATATATCACATATATCAATATTTGCTTGGAAAAGCCCCCAAATTATTGTAGCACATTAGTAAAGCACTGAATAGAAATATCTAAAGGTGGCATGAGAAATCCAGACCTTGTTTTATATTTATAATAATATAATAATTCTCCATTGAACTTAAGACTACCACTCGGTTTACTTGTGGCCATAACAGATCATTACATTCATTTATGTTTTTTTTTTTAATATCTAAATTAATGTGTTAAATTTGACACCAAACTGGGGTGCCACCCCTCTAGATCCGCCCCTGCAGTGTAGATATGTCACCTCTCTTAGCACGGACTGATAGTGACTCTGTTTCCTCTGACAGATCGACATCGGGCTGATGGTGGGAAACAGCCAGGTGATTTTTGAGAAGGCAGAGAGTTCATCCCTTACACTGGTTGGTACGTTCCTTATCTCTCCCTACAGGTTTCCTCAAACTTTATTGTCCTCAGTGAGAATCTGGATTTTGAGGGGCTAAGAGAAGGACTAAATCAAGAGGGTAAACATGGTCAGAACCTCTTTTTCTGAAGGAAATATTTCACTGCCGTGAAACAATCTTGATGGTGCTGCATAAACAACAGTCTCTTACCACAGTCCCTCCACAGGATGGCAGTAAGAGCACATTACAGTATGCTCTCATTAATGCATCACCTCCGTCTGTCTGCTAAGGAAAAGGCAGACTTAAAGAAGAGATAGAACAGATCAAACTGCTTTAATTTGATGGTTTTTAATTCATTATTGAGCTCCTCAGAAATCCCATTTTCCTTCCTGTCTGACCATCTTGAAACATGGTTTATGTTCAGAACTTCACAATCCTCTATAGAGGATGAGAGCAGCCCATCCAGGTACTTTGCCCCTGAGTCATGCTCCTGCCCCCTTTTGGGTGAAAGCAGTTCCTCTAATTTGACTGGCCGTAAATGTAAATTCTGAGGTCTCTCCCAATCTAATAGTATAAAATAAGAATGCTATATTGCTCTTTAGCTATGGCCAACGAGGCAAACAATTATGTAATCATCGCCAATCAAGGATCAGTGTCATTGTATAGAAGAAATAAAGAAATAGGGGTCGATGACTGTCCTTTCAGTCTGCCTCCATCACAGTGGACGGACCTGACATATAGCTACCTTATTGAATCTCATATTTCTGACATCTCACACTGTTTCTGTCATTCAGATTCTTTGTGTTTATAATCAACGTTTTACTACGAGTCAGGTTTTTTATCCATTTCCTGCATTACTTTATGCTGTTAAATTTCTTTTCATTAAAAACTTTATTTACACCATTACTGAGACACTTTACTGATTCTCTTTAATCTACAGTTACAATGTGCACACACTTTATTTACTCAGTAACATCATTAACAAACTTGTGATGAAACCTTTCCAACAGACGCATACTGACAGTTTACCATTTTGTATCCTCTCTGTGGATGACCTTAAGCCACAGATCTCTTCTTTTACTGTCCTTCATTCTTTGGGGAAGTAAAGAAAATAAACTGGGTTTTTCAACACAGCAGCTTTTAGGCATAGTACCACTGGACACTTTTACAGCACTTGTTTCACCCAAAAGGGGGCAGTGAAGACAAGAAAGTGACATATGCCTGCTCTCATCTATCCTCATGTAGTCACTTGCCTTAACATATATCTCTGTTATTTTCCACTGAAGTAGTTCCTTTATGTTTTTCAACAGGTAAGGCAAAGACCAAGGAGGCCCGACAGACAATCATCAACCCAGAATGGAACTTTGAGAAGATGGGAATTGGAGGTCTGGACAAGGAATTCTCTGACATTTTCCGCAGAGCCTTTGCTTCCCGAGTCTTCCCTCCAGACATTGTGGAGCAGATGGGTAAGAAACTCTATCCTCACTCTTTTTTGTTGCTTTTCCTGATTTAACCGTGCCAGATTGCCTTCGTTTTTTGTGCTGTTGTCTAACATCCTTTATTGACTCTACTGACTATTTATGAGGTTTAAAACCTGCTTCATATGAAATAGATGTGATGCAAGTAATTCTTTGGCTTTTGGGTTTTACTGTAAATGAAGTGTCAAAACCTGGTTGGGATAACCTTGCTAGTAAATTTGTATGCTGCATATTCCCCACAGTAGCAAAATGTAATATACAGTACTACGATGGAGGAAACAGGGTTATTCACAGTGCAACAGCAGCTATTTTGTCTCTCTCACACACAGACAATAACATAGAATTTATTCACTGGTTCAATGATTCATTTTATTAACTTGGTTTCTTCCCCCTCTGGCACATAAAACTATTTTATAACATGCATACATCTTTTCTCCCTCTTCCTCTCCTGCCTCCTCCCTCTGACTCTTTCCTCGATCCTTTCATTTCTCTCCCATCTTACTCTCTTTCCCTTCCATTTTTGTCTTCATTCACTTTGACGTCTGTCACCCTCCCCATTTTCTTTGCTCCAGGCTGTAAGCACGTGAAGGGCATCATGCTGTTTGGGCCTCCGGGCTGTGGTAAAACGCTGATGGCCAGGCAGATCGGTAAGATGCTCAATGCCCGTGAGCCCAAGGTCGTCAACGGCCCAGAGATCCTCAACAAGTACGTAGGAGAGTCTGAGGCCAACATCCGCAAACTGTTTGCCGACGCGGAGGAGGAGCAGAAGAGGGTGAGAGACGCTCAATGCACTTTTCTATAAGCTCAATTTAAAAGAAAAAAAGACTGAACTCATCATTTGGACCTGTCTCCAGCTCGGAGCCAACAGCGGCCTCCATATCATCATCTTCGATGAGCTGGACGCCATCTGCAAGCAGAGAGGCACAGGCGCCAGCAGCACAGGCGTGCACGACACTGTGGTCAACCAGCTCCTGTCTAAGATTGACGGTGTGGAGCAACTTAACAACATCCTGGTCATCGGTCAGTATATGAGAGGGGACTGATTCACTTCGTTAACATACCTAACAGCTGTAAGATGGTTCTCAACCTTTTAGAGTCCCCCCCCATGTGTAACACAACACTTGAAAGCTACCTTACTCACACAAGAAGAGCATTGTTTTGCTCACAGACAGAACAACTCATACATGTCTTTAGATTTGTTGGAATAACAGCACCTTGTCAATCAACATGTCTGCTTTAGGCCTAAAAGCCTATAGCAGTGGTTCCCAACCTGGGGGTTGCCAAAGCTTCATAGGGCGTCACAAGGTCTTCTTGATTTTAAGGTGTGCTAGAAGACTTATATCTCAGCATCTGGTTCCCTTCTGTGAAAGGTAAATGTAAAGTACAGTAAATTGTGAATTGCCAAGCATCAGGGACAAGAAAACACTGAATTTGTCAAAATAGAAGCATGTTGAGTATTTATGATGACAGATTGTCTGCTCAAAATTCATCCAAATCACTCGTTTTATACAAATGTCTTGCAGTTACTGAGTTCACTGTTTGGGTTCATTGTACAGTTTGGAATATAATATGAAATAACAATAGAATATGAGTCAGGAGTCATCAGTTTACTAAATGATAGAAAAGGGCTCCCTTAAGGAAAAATGTTGGGAACCACTGGCCCCTGGTTCTTGTCCCCTGTTTTGAATGTCATTAAAGGGATGACATCACTGAGAGCTGCTTCCTGTCTCTAATTCCGCCCTGCTTGCCACAATATGTTTTATTTTACACTCCACAACCATTTAAAGACCCCCAGATTGAGAACCACTGGATTAGAAAGCAGAGGCACGTTCACACATATTTCACTGATCAATTCAAACAGCATGCTTGCGACCGATGCATGAGCACTAGAGAGTCGTGTAGGAAACATGACGCTGCTGCAAAGCAGAAATCACTTTATGAAACGCGCCCCAGATTGAAAACCATTCAATGATATTTGTTTTCTGTGCACATGTTCAGACATTTAATGTTCCATGATGATTGAAATACTGTTGCGTTATCTCCTGAATGGATAATGGCATTCTCCTGTCCAAATCTGAGAATACACTGTATATAAAAGAGATGTGGGAGAAAGAGGGGAATTTCAGAAGAGGGCTGGAGGAGAATGTCAAGCACAATGGAATTTATTCTGTTTGAAAAAATATTGGTAGTTATTTTATCACAACCCCTGCAGAAATGACACCACGGAGGTGGAGGTATCTGGAGACTATGTGGGACAAATAATGCCAGTCACTTCCATATTTTCTTTTTTGTGGGGGAGACAACGGGCAAGCTGAGCCTTCAGCCATGGTGACAGGATTAGGATTTTGGAACGACTGGAAAGATGCAGGCTCCCCCTTGTCCCATTGTTAATAATAAATCAGGAAGTCAGTATAGGACTGTATGATGGAGAGCTAGACGGCTTTTTCAAGTCAAACCATCTGAGGACATTCACAGTTATCACCATAATGGAAATTCACCACAATAAATTAGGTTTTATCGCGATAGTATCGTATATCGTCCCATCCCAAATAATGTATTTGGAGTTAGTATTCCTTTTAGATGTGATATTGTATACATGGGTGACATCTCATTTGAAGGGTAGGACAGCAATGATAAGAAATTTGTACAAATACAGAAAATACAGAAAATATATATCAGAATCACTTTTATTGGCCAGGTATGTGCACACATACAAGGAATGTAACGTACACAGAATAGCATAAATAAAAAGGACAACAGGCTCAACAAAATAGACAAACTACTATGTACAGGTAGGTGGATATGACAGTATATACAGAACAATATGCAGAGCATGCATAGATGTGTTACATTATGTGATATATTATGGAAAGGCTGTTATTCTCCCTCAAATTCCAGAGAGAAACTATTTTTTCAGACACAATGGGCCTCATGTAAGAATCCTATCCTATCTTGACTTAAACGTCTCCTACCTTTTGAAACACTTCGTGTTTCAAGTCAGACTCACCAAACTCTCTTCACTGCACCAACTTGTTGTAAATTGCTCGCTTCAACATGATCTGTGCCCTCTGCTCATGACGGAGTGTGCACTCGTGATATTTGATCATTAGTATAAACTCTGTCCCCAAAATTATTCTGTAAGAAGAACTACCTGTTCTGCTCCATGTGTGGGCACGTTCCATTCACGGTAGTAGTATTAGAGGACCAGAAAGAATTTGCTAAACGTGTCTCTAGAGCAGCGCTGTACTGTAAAAATCATAAAGAGTGAATAGTTTGACATTGAGATAGTGACTGGACAGACCTGAAGCTGCTGCAGTGACATAGTTTTCCTATCAACTACTGAACTGTATAAGTTGCCTCACCAAATATGCCAATTAATCATTAAATGTAAAAAAAAAAGTTGTCAAACTGCTTAGTAAATTGGTAAGCCATGATGATAAGTTTGTGAACAGAATATTACTAAGTTTATTTTGGGTTTTAGAAAGAGGGGGAGATAGACTTATATGTGTAACTTCAGAACAAATGTGTTTATACAAGTGATTCTTGGCCCATTGTCAGTTTTAAAGGTCCAGTGTGTAACATTTAGGAGGATCTAATGTCAGAAAAGTATGGAAGCCCATTTCCCCCAATGTGACGAAAACAAGAAAGATTCTGTAAGTAATTATAATGAGAAACTTTCTCAGTATTTTATTATTGGCAGAAATGGGCTTCCATAGAAAATGGGATATAATATGTGTATTTTCATTAGTGTATAATCATATCAATATAAGTATCTTTGTGTTTTTGTGTGATATCTTCTATCTTCATATAATGTCAGGACATTTATTTATCATTAGACAACACAAGGTTGTATAACGAAATGAAAATATGCTGTCCCTTAATGCAACACACATAGAAAAAGATAATTACATTTATAGAATAACATAGAAAATGGAAAGAATAAAATAAATGATATCATAGTACATTTCTGTATGAATTAATTTAATACAGTATCAGTGTATATATCAGTCAGCATCAGTAACATAACTCTGCCCTCCCTCCTTCCTGCCATTCTCTCAGTGTTGTTTTCTATTCCTCTCCAGGTATGACCAACAGGCCTGACCTGATAGATGATGCCCTGATGAGGCCTGGCAGGTTTGAGGTCAAGATGGAAATTAGTAAGTGTTCAGCTCTCTCTCTTCTTTCTTTAGAAACAACTCAACTTGGTATTGTGGTTAAAGTTGGCATCCCTCATCTCTGTCTATGACTTCAAATGCTGAAATATCACCTATTGTTTACTTGTAGTTTTAGAATATAACATGATCACATAAATGAGTAAAAAAAAAGCAGATGACAGTAAAAAATGACAGAAGTATTTTTTTTATTATTCTTTAGAAAGCACAATGTGAAAACAATTTCACGTTTAAAAAGTCCAGTCTAACCTTTCCTTCCACAAGAAGAGCTTGTGTATGGAGCCCTGAAACTGACAAAATGTAGTAAAATGTAGTAAAATGTGTCAAATGTATTTCCCTTTAAAGCTGCAGTAGGTAATCTTTATTAAAAATAGCTTTCACTATATCCTGGCAGTAGTATGTGAGACAAATAATCTGCGAAAAAATCAGGTTCCTTTGATTCGTTGTAATGCTCCTAATGGCATTTGCAAGAATCCACTGTGCCTCAATAAAAACAACCAAAGATCAGAAAAGAAAAATGTAAAGACACTTTGGACTGGTGGCTTGAAGGTAATTGATGTCTTATTCCCAGCATTGATATTTGATGACCTGGTAATTAGACTCAATAATCAACTATCTTTCTTGGCTAATAAGATGCTAAAATTACATGTGCAACTTAAGCAGGGTTGTTGCGTTTTTGCACTTGAACCTTGGTACTTGTTTGTACAGTCATTTTAGTCATTCAAGCTAACACAAACAAATGTTACTACTTAGAAGTTCAAAGACACTATAATTCCATCTTCTTAATCTTTAGTTATATTGTTGATTTGTCTGATAGTCTTGGCTTGTACTAAGTTTTGGCAGTTTTGGACTGCCATAATTATGAAAACAATTTTTCTGCACTATAAATCTTTTTATGTATTCATTGTATTCCTTATTTTTTCATCAAAATATCATGCCAATAAATCAGCATGGAGTTGCATTGAATGTGTTTGTGAATAGAGGCATCCATTTATTACCTTCTCTGCTTACCTTCCACTGTCCCTTCCTGCCCCATCGTCTAACCTCCAGGTCTGCCTGATGAGAAGGGGCGTGTCCAGATCCTGACCATCCACACCAACAAGATGCGAAACTTCGGCCTGCTCGCTCCTGATGTCGAAATCAAGGAGCTGGCAGCCGAGACTAAGAACTACAGCGGTGCAGAGCTGGAGGGGCTGGTCAGGGCTGCCCAGTCCACTGCCATGAACCGACACATCAAGGTCACTTGCAAAGGCATTTTCAAATACTCTCATACGCACAGCTGACTCAAGCACGAGCTGGGCTCAGCTGTCAGTAAAACACCTTTTTATAGCTTCAAATAACCAATTAAAACCAAAATTTACACTTCATGTCCCATCTGCTAACATGGAGGCAGCAGGCTTTATGGCTGTATACTGCAGTTAGCCACCAGGGGGAGATAGAGATGTTTTAGCTTCACTTTTGGAGAACTGTCATGTCATCCATCTTTATATATGTCGAGGGTTTAACCCAACAGTCAGTGTGTTATATTGTAATAAAAGCTTGCACTGTCAGTAGTGGTCAGCAGAGTAACCATGCTAGCAGATAAGCATGCAAGCAGATTAGCTTGCTAGCAGTAGTGCTAGCTTGGCTCCCAACTCACAAGTGACTTTCTACTTGCAGGTCTTAACAGTCTGTCAGCAAACTGACTCTAGTGCAACAGCTCTAATTGTTTACATCACCAAAGCACCAAAGCATGATGGGTACCAAGTAGCAAATTACAAAATATATGAATTCCTTTCGAAAAAATAAAGCAATAGTAGTGTGTAAGTGTTAGCCTTGACCTCAACAGACAAAATGATCTAAAAATTAAATAATAAATAAATAAATAAATAAACTCAAGAAGTGCTTAGTCCATTTTCTGGAGCTTTCACACACATCTCACAGCCTTTATCAACAAGTGGAATTGGTTTTAGTGGCCATTATATGATTAACAACCACCCTCAATTGAGATTATTTTAAGAACCCTTTTATTTTGTAGGGAGACTTGGTTGCACTGTTAAAGGGGTACTCCAGTGATTTTGTATTGCACTTCCATAAATTTAGGGGGTCACAATAGACTCATTAAAAACAGAATCTTTCAAATCCAATTTCAACCCGCAGAGGCAGTGGCTCCCTTGTTCAGTCCTTCACAGCTCTCTATATAATAGACAGTCTTGACACTTTGAAGACACTTTTGTATCCCGAGCCACAGAAGACATTATAAAACAGTTTTCGCAGGCTGAATAGTACTCCTCATGGGGAGTAAATCTGAATTTGATGTGTAAAATTGATGGTGCCCTTTAAACCTGGCATTGTTTTGATGTAGTTTTATGTGTATGTTCTTTTTACAGGCTACATCTACAGTGGAAGTGGACATGGAGAGGGCAGAGAAGCTGCAGGTCACCAGATCTGACTTCATGGGGTCCCTCAACAATGACATAAAACCTGTATGTACCAGGATCTTCGACATACTTCCTGACTGCTGATTACAGTATGATCCTGGGATATAGTTGTTAACACTTCCTCATGCTTTTATCCAGGCGTTTGGTACAAACCAGGAGGATTACTCCACCTACATCATGAACGGCATCATCAAATGGGGAGACCCAGTCACTCATGTCCTGGATGATGGAGAGCTGCTGGTACAGCAGACCAAGAACAGTGATCGCACACCACTGGTGGCTGTGTTATTGGAGGGTAAGATCACACCATTTATATTTTATTTTACTTACTTGCAGACAGTTTTCATCTAGTTTGCTACTACTTCTCTTGCATGTACACACGCAAAATAGAAAGATATCTACAGCCCCACACATGTGAACAAATGATTCCTATGCAGTTAACCAAAATGGCCGCTCCAGGTGGCTACTTTCTGTGTTTGCTTTCTGTTGGACTCAAAGGCAAGCATATGAAATGATTCATGTAAAAATCATGTTTATTTGAAAAGCTGTATGAGGCTCCTGTAGCAGATATAGGTTTGCAGGCCATGTTTCACTCTACCACGGAGTTTGCACAACACATAGAGCCATAATAGCCACATTTATGGACATTATGTTCTTATTAGCCTAGCAGAGCCTTTCCAGTGAGCCAACATAGCAAGTCAAAGCAAGGCCGTTTATTTATTTATTTATTTATTTATAAAGCACATTTCATACACAAAGGTAGATTCAAGGTGCTGTACTGTGAGGTTAAAAACAAGACAGTTCAAAGATAAAACAACAGCCTTGGGCGGCCGGTTAGCTCAACTGGTAGAGCTGGCAACCATGTACTGAGTCCTTGCTGCAGTGGCCCAGGTCTGATTCCAACCTGTGGCCGTTTGCTGCATGTCATCCCGTCTCCCTGCCCCCATATTTTCTATCTTCAGCTGTCGCTATCAATTAAAAGGCAATAAAAGACAAAAAAAAGATAAAACAACACACTTATATACTTATACAATTTAAAAAACAATATAATAGAATAAAAAAGCATAATAAAGAGAAAGAATAAGAAATTAAAATAGTAAAAGCACAATTTTTACTATAATTTAGTAAACAGTATAAACAGTGTTATAAACAGAGAATAAATTGCTCATTAAATGACTCAAACTACACGTCAGCTTTCACCCCACTGAAAAGCTTCACACATACAAACACACGCAGGCAGTGAATTGTACCCCTCCTTTCCTCTCCACACACACACACACGCAGGTCCACCCCACAGTGGAAAGACGGCCTTGGCAGCTAAGATTTCAGAGGACTCGCAGTTCCCCTTCATTAAGATCTGCTCTCCAGACAAGATGATTGGATACTCAGAGATCTCTAAGTGCCAGGCAATCAAAAAGGTAAGTGCTGCAGTGTTTTAACCCATAGAGTATGTGAGCAAACACTGAAACATTTGCATTTGAACAATGGCTTATGGAACCATTTAATCTGTTTAATTGCTCCTTCCCTTTCACCAATGACTCCTCCCTTTGTTTTTTCCACCCATTAATGCCTCTCTGCATCCTCCCTGCCTGTTGCTCATTTGTCTCTCCCTCCCTCCCTCCCTCCCTCCCTCTGTTTCAGGTCTTTGAGGATGCTTATAAGTCGCAGCTCAGCTGTGTGGTGGTGGATGACATTGAGCGTCTGCTGGACTATGTCCCCATCGGACCTCGGTTCTCCAACCTGGTACTCCAGGCTCTGCTGGTGCTGCTGAAGAAAGCTCCCCCAAAGGTTAGAGTGCATCTGCACCCTCTGTACATATTGTTACTATACTCCAGTCAACATATTCCAAAAAGACCAAAACCAATAATAAATGGATCCTAATTACTATTTGTCTTCTTCTTTCTCTGTGAATAATAATTGAACAGACATCAGTGAGCCGCACTGTTGCACTGATGAAGGAGTGTGAACGCACACCCAAAGGCATTGAAAATAATTGGAGGTGTGGAGAGAGAAGAGAGCTTGCCAGACCTCTGCTTTGAGTAATGTTTGCTAAATATTTCAGTGCCCAGCTGTTTAAGAAAATCACTGAGCCTTTTTGAAAACTAAAACTACTTATTTGTGACACATTCTTCAGTAGGAATAAATGGGCTAGGAGCTGTGTTCAACAGCAGGGTAGGAATGTTCACAGAGAACAATAGTTCCTAACAGTGTCATACTTGACCCAGACAAGCTAATTAAATCAAGCAAGAGGCGGGCTTTACTACACTACCACTTCCTTCCTGATTTGATGCCGTTTACTTCGCCGGTAAATAGTGTGAGAGCTACGGAGCAGGGGTATGGTGGGGGGGTAAACTCAGTTATTCACCTCTTTGAAAAGCTAGAGTTTACTCATCTAGAACTCGACGTCTGCTTGAATCCACTTTTTTTCCCCAGTAATCATATTCTGGTTGTGCATGCAGCAGTTTTTTTCACTCTTTGCCTTCGCCTGTTCGCCCGTAGCGATGTGTCTCTGTGTGATTGGCCTCTAACTCCTTTTTGGTTGTGGTCTTTTCATGCAATTTTTGGTTAATAAGAAAGACATAGAATATCACCAGTGTGATCTTCTGACATTTTGGGAAATACTCTGCTTTATTGAAAAGATTAGCTAGGAATATCCATACCACTCTCATATCTGTACGGTAAATAATAAGGCTGCAGTTGATTTCCTTATCATAGCATAAAGACTGGAAGACAGGGCTAGCTTATTTAATCTGTACAAGTGCTAAAGTGTAACAATGGCACGTGGGTTAAGGCAGGGTTATGTGACTATTTTTTGTCAAGATGCAGTAGCCAGGCTAGCTTTTAGCTGTTGGACTGTTTACAGTCTTTATGCCAAGCTAAGCTAACCAGCTGTTGGCGGTAGCTCCATTTTAATCAGACAGATACAAGAGTGATATACATTTTTTAATGTAACTCTCTGTAACAAAACAAATAAGCATGTTTCCCAAATGGTATACTATTCCTTTAAGATGACAACTGTATAATGTGTAATAAACAGGCAAAAACAAAGTATTACCCCATAATTTGACATTTTTATTTGATTTTTTTCCTTAAAGTTTTAATTTCCTCCTTATGTGCAAGTTTTCTTTCAGTGTTTTAGTGCATTAACAAACAGTTTAATTTAAGTGGAGTCAGTTGATTCATAAAAGTAATTAGATCAACAAAAGTTGGAACAGTTTATATGTTTATTTCAGAATTACCTAAACCTAGTGAAAACCTACACTATGCCTGTGGTTATATCTATCCAATCATTGGTATTACATTTTTGAAATCGTGAACTTGTGAATGGACAATCACGGAAATTGAATTTCCCATATGGTATAATTAAGAAAGGTCAAAACAAGTCATTTCTTTCTCCTGCAGGGCCGGAAGCTGCTCATCATTGGCACCACCAGCAGGAAGGACGTGCTGCAGGAGATGGAGATGTTGGACGCCTTCAGCACCACCATCCACATTCCCAACATCTCTACTGGGGAGCAGCTAGTTGACGCTTTAGAGGTAGTGTAGTCAACATATTTGGTTGCTTGGAGGTAAAGAAGCTCATGACTGTGCTTTTGTACAAGGACACTCAGATGAATGTGGTGAATTACACAGAACCATCCCCCATTCTCAAGAGCGCACATTCAATCACACACTCAGCCTTGAAAGATCCAGCACAGTAACCTTTGTGTACACGAGGAAAAAACATTCACATTCACTAACATTGCTAAAGTGTTGTATTGCAGTTTGGTTGAAGGTTAAGAACATAAGAAAAAAGCTCCTTTCTTTGTTTTCCTTGTAGCTGCTGGGGAGCTTCACGGATAAAGAGCGCGCCAGCATTGCACAGCAGCTCAAAGGGAAGCGAGTCTGGATTGGCATCAAGAAACTCCTTGGGCTCATCGAGATGTCGCTGCAGGTACAGGAAACTCACCAAAGCAGGGGCCATAGCAATGGCTCAGAAACCACCGTGCATAAGCTGAGGTGGCTTCTGCATTTCTGGGCCCATAGAGTTAAGTCTTTCTCAGGTTAAGAGCATGTGTGTTTGTTCCTCCAGCAAGATCAGCTGACTTCCTGTTGGCTCCCTGCACACATGAACTGCATTAAGTAATTTAACAATATGGCTTTTCTAGACTTTACAAGTTTTATTGGTCTCAATAGAACTTCTGATTATAAAAGTTATAAATAAAGAGTTTTTCGAGGGGCTTGTGATAGTCCAAATATTCTTTTCCCACTGATTTTTGGGCTAGTGTACATCACGTGATCCTGTAATACTGAGTGTTCCTACAACACAGCCCAGCCAAGAAATAGTCCACATAAACCCCTATAAAGAAAGATTTTGTGTCATTTTTGCACTGCCAGCTGAACAGATTTTATGAACATGCATGTGCAGAACGCCGGTGTTCAATCGTTATTAACAATTTAGGACACATGAATCTGAGGGAGGCTGATTGTTTCTTGCCGCTGTCTTCGATCATGCCTTAACCATCAGCATAAAAAAGATGGATGTCGCGTCTGCACTTCCTCCCACTGTACAAAAATGAAGCCAAGATATCCTGGATACAACAGCTGCCATCTTTCGCCATTCAGAGCCAGAGTCTGCGCAGTAGTGATCAGGGTTGGCAATCAAAGTACCGCCCATACAGCCAGCCGACTCAATCACAAGCAGGCCTCAGCTGTCAATCATGATGTGAAACCCCCTTTTTATAGCTTCAAATAACTAATTAAAACCAAACTTACCAGATATCAAGGCTTTAGGTTTAAGAAAATTCAGAAACCTATGGGTTATTTTATGCAGTCTATGGTTCGCAATCACTGGACAACAGTTGATATGTAGCTACCATTTGTGCTCCAGTGGACGTCCAAAATGGGAGACTTCTGATGTGACTGCGAGGCCCCATATTGACTTGCTGATTATTTGTTTCTGCTGTGACAGACAGTTCAATCTTTCTATCCTTCTACTTTCTTTTACTCTCTCTAGATGGACCAGGATTACAGAGTGTCCAAGTTCCTGTCTCTGCTCAGAGACGAGGGGGCGTGAGTACAAGCGTTCTGCACCAATCACATTTTCATTTCATTGCTTGTCAACATCATTCACTTAAACCCTCTTATTTTATTCCCATCTTGAAAATGGCTCAGTCATGTCACACAAGAATACATATTGATTTTGAAGACTCCAATGTTATATTTTCACACTGCACATACAGAGTAGATGTGCCTATTGTCCTAACAGTGAAGAAAAAGGCTAACAATCCTCTTCTCACTAACTTTGGACTATAACGGCTTTATTTTGCGATCACCAGGTTGAATGAAGGCGATCAAATCCGAATTTAAGCTGTCAAACGGTCTCGCTGTGCACCGGTAAGGTCAACACCAAAGCAATGTTGAGATGAGACTTGTGCCTAAATATTAGGAGTACAAAACCTGTAGCTTACTAGTTAGCAATTAGATTAGTATTTACATAGTTTTTCCCTACTGCTGTAGGAATGTTATTGCAGTACCAGCTTAAGATAACTGTTTGAATTGTGTTTTAGTGTACAGTACATTTTACACAAAAGCATTTATGCTGAGGATTCAAACTTTTCATTTTGCCAAATTAATTAAAACTTCATTTTGTGTCATTCATTTCAAAGTTTAAAAGGTCCAGTGTGTAACATTTAGGAGGATCTACTGGCAGAAATATAATATAATATTCATAGGTATGTTTTCATTAGTGTATAATTCACCTGAAAATAAGAATTGTTGTGTTTTTGTTGCCTTAAAATGAGCTATTTTATCTCTACAGACGCCATGGGTTGCCTTCCACGGAGGCTGCCATGTTGAACCGCTACGTTTATAAAGTAGCCCAGAGCAGACAAACCAAAAACTGATTCTAAATAGGGCTGTTCGCGTTTTTCATAGCCACCAGAGTTTCTCCCTCATGGAAAGGGAGGATGCGACTTTAACGTTAGATATGCCACTAACTCCTACACACTGGACCTTTTAAGCAGAACTATGTAACTTTGGTTAACAGTCGCCGCTGGGGCCACAAGTGATGCTCACATGATAATGATAAATGCTGATGATGAGAGAATGAGAAAAGAGTCATCAATATAAGTTACACAGCAATATCAATGTCAAGTTTACTAACATTAGCTAACATTAGCGACCAGCTACTGGTCGTATATGATACAGAGAACAGCAGTGTCACCAAAAGGATAGAGGGTATTGAAAAAATTACATTAATAAGCCTGCCCTTTAACTTTAAAGGTCCAGTGTGTAA